GTACACTTCTCCCCTTCCCCAGCCAAGGTGGTGTCAGAGAAGGCTGAGTGGGGAGCTGGGGTTTTCATTGTTTCTGGAAGGTGATAGCACTTCTTTTCCACGGTGTCAGTAGTCACAGGAAGTGAACTTCTACCCAATAATACATAGGCATCTCTCTGGCTCCTATGTGGGTGATATCAGAAAAGAGGCCTAGTAGAAAATCCAGACTGTTGCTGATACCCATCAATAGCAAGCACACCTCCACAATATCCGTGGAGGCCACAGGGGGATCAGTAACAAGGCACTCTTCTCCCTCCCAGTCAGTTACAGATCAGCGGAGGACAAGGGGGCTATAATTCCCATGTGTGTTTAGCAGTAATCCCCATGACCACCACTGCTTGTCATCACAGCCCTTGAAGAAACCTAGACTTCCACTTCCCTCTGGCTGTGGCAAGGTGGCACTCCCTTTTCCCTGCTGGCAGTGCTGTGTCAGAGGAGGCTTGCCAAATTGGAAGATGAAAATGAGATTCACAGACTCATAACATAATGCCCCAAATTTTCAAGATTCGATTGAAAACCACTAAGCCAGGGCACAATAGCTCACACCTGTAATCCCAGCACTTTGGGAGGCCAGGGTGTGTGGATCATTTGAGGTCAGGAGTTCAAGACTAGCCTGGCCAACATGGTGAAACCTCATCGCTACTAAAAACAGAAAGATCAGCCAGGTGTGGTGCTGTGTGCCCGTAATCCCAGCTACTGGGAAGGCTGAGGCAGGAGAATCACTGGAAACTGGGAGGCGGAGGTTGCAGTGAGCCGAGATTGCGCTGCTGTACTCAAGCCTGGGCAACAGAGCAAGACTCCATCTCAAAAAAAGAAAATCACAGGCCGGGTGCGGTGGCTCAAGCCTGTAATTCCAGCACTTTGGGAGGCTGAGGCGGGTAGATCACCTGGTCAAGAGATCGAGACCGTCCTGGTCAACATGGTGAAACCCCGTCTCTACTAAAAATACAAAAAATTAGCTGAGCACGGTAGCACGTGCCTGTAATCCCAGCTACTCAGGAGGCTGAGGCAGGAGAATTGCCTGAACCCAGAGAGGTGGAGGTTGCGGTGAGCCGAGATCGCGCCATTGCACTCCAGCCTGGGTAACAAGAGCAAAACTCCGTCTCAAAAAAAAGAAAAGAAAAGAAAAGAAAATCACTTATGAACCAGAAAAATCTCAACTTGAATGAGAAAAGACAGTCAGTAGACACACCTAGATGGCACTGATGTTACAACTACCTGGTAAAGGTTTTTAAAGTAGCCAGCATAAAAATGCTTCAGTAAGCAATTACAGTGAGCACACTTGAAACAAATGAAAAAATAGAATGCCTTAGCAAAGAAATAGAAGATACAAAGAAGACCCCCATGACATTTTAGAATTGGAAAATAGTCGTAATGGAAATTTTAGGTATTTTTAAGTCCTCTCTCAGTGGAATGGAGAGGACAGAGGAAAGAATCCGTGAGCTTGGAGACAGAAAAACAGAAATTACCTATTCTGAGCAACAGAGAGAAAATAGACTAGAAAATTTAATAGAGCCTTAGAGACCTCTGGCGCTCTAACAAAAGATTTAAATTTGTGTCATGGAGGCCCAGAAGGCGATGAGAAAGAGGGTGCAGCTGAAAAAGTACTGGAGGAAGAAGGCATGGCTGAAAATTTCCCAAATTTGGCACAAGTCAGAAACATACAGATTGAAAAAGCTCAGTGAAGCTCAAATACGATAAACCCAAAGAAATTCACAGACGCATCATAGTCAGATTTCTGAACACTGAAGGTAAAGAATGAAGATCTTGAAATTACCAAGAAACGACCTTACCTACAGCAGTTTAAATGACAGCCAGATTTCCCATCAGAGATCATGAAAGCCAGAAGGAAGAGTTACATACAACATTTTTTCTAGTGCTGAAAGGAAAAAACTCTAGGCCAGGTGCAGTGGCTCACGCCTGTAATCCCAGCACTTTCAGAGGCCAACGCATGCAAATCACCTGAGGTCAGGAGTTTGAGACCAGCCTGGCCAACATAATGAAACCCTGTCTCTACTAAAAATATAAAAAATTACCTGGGTGTGGTGGTACATGCCTGTAATCCCAGCTACTTGGGAGGCTGAGGCAGGAGAATCGCTTGAGCCTGGGAGTCGAAGGTTCCACAGTGAGTTGAGATTGTGGCACTGCACTCCAGCCTAGGTGGCTGAGCAAGACTCCATCTAAAAAAAAAAAAAAAAAAAAAAGGCCGGGTGCAGTGGCTCAAGCCTGTAATCCCAGCACTTTAGGAGGCCGAGGTGGGTAGATCACGAGGTCAAGAGATCAAGACCATCCCGGTCAACATGGTGAAACCCCGTCTCTACTAAAAATACAAAAAAAAAAGTTAGCTGGGCATGGTGGCGCGTGCCTGTAATCCCAGCTACTCAGGAGGCTGAGGCAGAAGAATTGCCTGAACCTGGGAGGCAGAGGTTGCGGTGAGCCGAGATCACGCCATTGCACTCCAGCCTGGGTAACAAGAGTGAAACTCCGTCTCAAAAAAACAAAATTAAATTAAAAAAAAAAATTAGCCAGACGTGGTGGTGGGCATCTATATTCCCACCTACTTGGGAGGCTGAGTCAAGGGAATTGCTTGAACCCAGGAGGTGGAGGTTGCAGTGAGCCAAGATCATGCCACTGCACTGCAGCCTGGGTGACAGAGCGAGACTCTGTCTCAACAAAAAAAAGAAACCTAAGGAAAAAATTTTAAACCCAGATTTATATATTTATATATCCAGTGAAATATTCTTAAGGATTGAAGGGGAAATTAACAATTTGTCTCCAGTAGACCTACCCTTAAAGAATGGCTAAAGGAATTTCTCTAAAAAGAAATGATAAAAGAAGAAATTTGGGAATATCAGGAAGGAAGAAAGAACAATAAAAAGAGTAAAATTGGGGTAAACACAATAGGTTTTCCCCTCCTTTTGAATTTTTAAATTGTGTGATGGTTGAAGCAAGAATTAATAGGCTGATTTGGTTTTCAGTATATATACAGGAAATATTTAAGGCAATTATATTACAAATGAAGGAGAGAGTCAAGGAATATAAAGGGAGGTAAGCTTTCTATATTTCATTTGAACTGATGCAGCCACTTTGGAAAATAATTTGACTATTTGTTTAAAAACTGAACATAACCCTGACCAGATGACATAGCATATATACTCCTGGGCATTTATCCCAGAAAAACAATAAATTTAAAAATTTTTTTTTTTTTTAGTATTACACTCCCTAAGTGCTGTAATATTAGTACTTAGGGAGGGAGGCCAAGACAGGCAGATTGCTTGAGCCCAGGAGTTCAAGACCAGCCTGGGCAAAATTTCTATTTTTGGCTGGGCACAGTGGTTCATGCCTGTAATACCAGCAGTTAGGGAGGCCAAGGTAGGTAGAATGCTTGAGCCCAGGAGTTCAAGACCAGCCTGGGCAATACTGCGTACTCAAAAAAGAAAAAAAAAATTAGAAAAGTATTTTAAATGTTCTTAATTGCTGAATGCCTCTTTGGCGAATATTTGGAAGAGCATTATTTAGTCCTACAACTGACGCATTCTTCCACTGATGCAATTGCCCAGGCTGATCTCGAACTCCTGGGCTCGAGCAGTCTGCCTGCCCCGGCCTCCCTAAGTGCTAGTATTACAGACATGAGCCACTGTGCCCAGCCAAAAATATAAATTTATATTATCACAAAAACATATATACAAATGTTTATAGCAGCCTTATTGGTCATAATTGAAAACTGGAAACAACCAACATGTCCTCTGTGAAACAAACTGTAGTACATCCATAGCATGGAGTGCTCTACTCTCAGGATGAAAGACAAACCAGCTGTTGGCATGTGCAGCACCATGATTGGATCTCAGGGACATTATGCTGAGTGTAAAAAAGCCTCAAAGGTTCCTATACTGTATGATTCCATTTGTTCAACGTTCTAAAAATGACAGATGTATAGAGATAGAGAACACTTATTAGTGGTTGCCACCAGTTAGAGAAAGTGGGTGAAAGAGGTAGGTGTGAATATAAATCGATAGGAGGGAGATCTTTGTGGTATTATAACACTTCTGTGTCTTGATTGTGGTGGTCGTGGTGATTACATGAATACACATGTGTGATAAAATGCCATGTAGAACTACATACAACATGTGCCAATGTCAATATCTGGGTTTTAGTTTGATCTTTAGTTACATAAGATGTAACTATTGGGTGAAACTGGGCAAAAGGGTACAAGAAACCTCTCCAAAACATCTTTGCAAATTCCTTTGAATTGACAATTTTTTCAAAGTAGAAAGTTGAGTTTTTGTAAATACATGAATTGTTGATATACACAACAAATCTCAAATGCATTATGCTAAGTCAAAGAAGCCATATGCACAAGGCTCCATACCTGCTGATGCCTTTTATATGGCAGGCAGGAAAAGATAAGACTGTTGGACAGAGAATATATACTGGTGGCTCTCTGGGATTAGGAATTGAGGATTGACCACAAAGGGGCAGCATGAGGGAATTTTCTGGGGCAATGGAATGGTTGTGTATCTTGATGGTGAATTTGTCAAAATTATTTATTTATTTATTTTGAGATGGAGTTTTGCTCTTGTTACCCAGGCTGGAGTGCAATGGCGTGATCTCAGCTCACCACAACCTCCGCCTCCTGGGTTCAAGCAATTCTCCTGCCTCAGCCTCCCGAGTAGCTGGGACTACAGGCGTGCACCGTGCCCAGCTAATTTTTGTATTTTAGTAGAGACGGGGTTTCACCATGTTGACCAGGATTGTCTCGATCTCTTGACCTCGTGATCCACCCGTCTCAGCCTCCCAAAGTGCTGGGATTACAGGCGTGAGCCACCGCGCCCGGCTGCATTTGTCAGAATTTACACAACTATAAAAGTGAATTTTGCTTTATACGAATTAAACAAAAAGAAGAAACGTGTGATCAAATAGAAATGCATTTTCTAAGAGCTTACCCTTTGATGACTTTCCAGAAATGTTAAGGAAAAGTGTGTTTTGTTTCCCAACAGGTGATGCCATAAGTGAAGAAGACATGCTTCAGGCAGCTGTGACCATGTCTTTAGAAACTGTCAGAAATGATTTGAAAACAGAAGGAAAAAAATAGTGTCTTTAAAAAACAATTTAGATATTCATACTTTGCAACATTATCCTGTGTGATTACAGCATAGGGTCCATTTTGGTATGTGTTAAAAAATGAGACTTTTAGTGGTTTGCAAACAAAATGATGGGAAAGCGGAACAATGCGTCAGTTGTAGGACTAAATAATGATCTTCCAAATATTAGCCAAAGAGGCATTCAGCAATTAAAGACATTTAAAATGGTTTTCTAAATGTTTCTTTTTCTTTTTTGAGTGTGCAATATCTAACATGTTTAAAATTAAGGCATTTTTTTCTTGGATCTTTTTGTAGACCAACTAATAAGCTCTTGCCTCAGGCTTTCTCCATATAGTTTGTTTTCTTTTTCTCTCTTGTAGATAATTTGGCTCATATCACCCAATAGTCACTTTCATTTCTCATTAACCAAATTAATCTTTCAGGAAAGTATCTCTAGTCTGTGTTGATCAAAGTAATGGTTCCAGAAGGATGAACGGTTCTCCCTTCAACTGTATATCATGTGCTCAAGTGTTTTCTTGTGTTATTTTCTCTGATCACAACTTTACTGCTCCCTGGCTTTCATTATTTCCCACAACTCTTGAAAGATGGTAATCTTTTCTGAGGTTTAGACGTCTTGTTTGTTTGCTTTGTTTTTTTTAGTTTTTTATAGATACGGGGTTTCACCGTGTTGGTCAGGCTGGTATTGAGCTCCTGACCTGAGGCGATCCACCTGCCTTGGTCTCCCAAAGTGCTGGGATTACAGGCATGAGCCACCGCACCCAGCCAGGGTTTAGTGTTTTAAGCCCTATGTTGGGATCATTCTTTATGACTGGTGCATTCCTTAACTTTGAAATCAGCCCTGCACAAGTACTTGAGAATAAATGAACATTTTTTAAAATGTGTGAGCATGTGCTTTCCCAGACGCTTTATGAATGTCTTTTCACTTGTGTCAAAACCTTACAGCTTTGTTGCATCTCCTTCTTCCTGCACCTCATTATTTCTTTTCTTCTCCAATTGAGAAAACTAGGAGAAGCATAGTATGCAGGCAGGTTTCCTTCTGTTAGAAGACTGAACATACGTACCCACCGTGAATGTATGATACATGAAATTTGGCCTTCAATTTTAATAGCAGTTTTATTTTATTTTTTCTCCTATGACTGGAGCTTTCTGTTCTCTTTACAATTGAGTCATGGAATATAGGTGTCTGCTTCACATCTTTTAGTAGGTATAGCTTGTCAAAGATAGTGATCTGGAACATGAAAATAATTTACTAATGGAAGTATGTTGAAATTTATACTGTGATTTGACACTTGCATCATGTTTAGCTAGCTTAAGAACTGTAGAAGTCACAGTACTTAGTGGGTCTGTAAATAAGAAAGTCCATAGTTTTGATAAATATTTTCTTTAATTGAGATGTACAGAGAGTTTCTTGCTGGGTCAATAGAATGGTATGATTTTGGTGAAAACCTTGTCTCTCTGAAGTTGATGTTTTAGTTTTTGTGTTCTCCATCCCTCATTCTCTATCCCCTTTGGAAGCTCTTTTGAATGTTGAATTGTTCGTAAGCTAATATCCAAGAAGAAATTTCAGCTGACAACTTAGAAAATTAAAGTATGGTGTATTACCCTACTGGTGTGTGGCTGCACACATTTTATCAGGGAAACCTTTTTGATTTAGGATTTATTGCTAACTGAAAAGAGAAGAAAAAGTATCTTTTATTTATTATTTTGAAATAGCTTTTTCTCGGATAGAACAGATTTTTTAAGTCATTATTTTGTGCCAGTCAAAGTTTTCTGAACTTTCCCTTAGACAAAAGTATAGTTTTATTTTAAAATCAAAAGTTTTCCTTTAATAGTTGAAAATGTTTCAGAAGAATTATAAAACTTTAAAACTGCAAGGGATGTTGGAGTTTAGTACTACTCCCTCAAGATTTAAAAAGCTAAATATTTTTAAGACTGAACATTTATGTAATTATTACCACTGTGTTAGTCCTGTTTTCCATGGATATTTGTTCATTACTTTTTCCATTGAAAAGTTACATTAAACTTTATACACTTGAATTGACGAGCTACCTAATACAAAAATGAGAAAACCAATATACATTTTAAAGTTAGAGTTTGTAAAGTTCATATATTATATACCCTAAAGCACTTAAGAAAAAGTGGTGTGTTTGACTTTTAGTTGCTGAAGAGTTTTGTTTTGTTTTGTTTTTTGTTTGTTTGTTTTTTGAGACGGACTCTCGCTCTGTCACCCAGGCTGGAGTGCAGTGGTGCAATCTCGGCTCATTGCAACCTTCACCTCCCAGGTTCAAGCGATTCTCCTGCCTCAGCCTCCAGAGTAGCTGGGATTACAGGCACCCACCACCACGCCCAGCTGATTTTTGTATTTTTAGTAGAGACAGGGTTTTACCATGTTGGCTAGGCTGGTCTCGAACTCGTGACCTCAGGTGATCTGCCTGCCTTGGCCTCCCAAAGTGCTGGGATTTTAGGCGTGAGCCACTGTGCCTGGCCAACTAGAGAGTTTTTAAAGCAGAGCTGAGCACACACTGGATACATTTGAATGTGTTTGTGTAGTTTGTTGTGAAATTGTTACAATTAGCAGGCAGATCCAGAATCACTAGTGAACTGTCATCTTGGTGGGGTTGGCTTACATTTAATTGAATGTTTAGATTCCATTCTTAATTCATCGGCCAGTATGAAAAGATGCCAGTGCAAATAACAGTAGTATCAAAAAAGCTAAAAGTTATGCAAAGCTATAGTTTATACATCAGGTACTGCCATTTACTGTAAACCACCTGCAAGAAAGTCAGGAACAACTAAATTCACAAGAACTGTCCTGCTAAGAACTGTATTAAAGATTTCCATTCTGTTTAACTAATTGGGAACATCTTAATGTTTAATATTTAAACTATTGGTATCATTTTTCTAATGTATAATTTGTATTACTGGGATCAAGTATTTACAGTGTTGATGCTAGTAGAAGTTTAAATAAGCCTTGGAAATACCACTTTCGTATTTTCAGATGTCATGGATTTAATGAGTAATTTATGTTTTTAAGATTCAGAATAGTTAACTTCTGATCTAAAATCATCAATGTATGTTTTTTACAGTAATCAGCATACAAATATTTCAGTAATATAAACTGTTTGCAAAGGTTGCTGCAGGTAAACTCTACTTAAACTCTAAGATTTTGGCCAAATAATTTACAATTCACAGAATATTTTTTTAAGGAGGTGCTTTTTTTTGTCGTTAAAACTTGATTTTTCTTAAGGCTTTATTCATGATGCCAAAGTTAATGAGGAATAAAATCTCAAAACTGGTTGAGTATCATTGTAGACAAAATTACCAGTAGTCCATATTGTTTAATATTGTTAAATAAAATAAATTTTATTCCAGTCAGAGCCTAAGTCACGTTTTGAATGTCTGAATTTTTGATACTATTTTTAAAATCATGCTAGTGCTGGCTGGGTGCGGTGGCTCACATCTGTAATCCCAGCACTTTGGGAGGCTGAGGCAGGTGGATCATGAGGTCAGGAGTTCAAGACCAGCCTGGCCAAGATGGTGAAACCCCATCTCTACCAAAAACTACAAAAATTAGCTGGGCGAGGTGGCCAGCACCTGTAATCCCAGCAGTTTGGGAGGCTAAGGCAGGAGAATTGCTTGAACCTGGGCAGCAGAGGTTCCAGTAAGCCGAGATCGCATCACTGCACTCCAGCCTGGGCGACAAAGTGAGATGACATCTTAAAAAAAGAAAAAAAAAAAAAGAGCTAGTGCCAAGAGCTACTAAATTATTAAAACAGGCCCATTGGACTTGTACAAATAAAAAAATCGATTCAGCCGGGCAGGGTGGCTCACGCCTGTAATCCCAGCCCTTTGGGAGGCTGGAGCAGGCAGATCCTTTGAGGCCAGGAGTTTGAGACAAGTCTGGGCAACATGGTAAAACCTCATCTCTACTAAAAATACAAAAATTAGGCATGATGACACACACTTTTAATCCCAGCTACTCAGGACGCTGAGAATTGCTTGAACCCAGGAGGTGGAGGTTGCAGTGAGCCAAAATCACGCCATTGCACTCCAGCCTGGGCGACGAGCAAGACTCCGTCTTAAAAAAACAACACACACACAAACTTTCCCTAGAATTGAAGAGGCCTCTGGCCACTATTTTCTTTTCTTTACTTTTTTTTTTTTTTTTTTTTTTTTTTTTGAGACAGTCTAGCTCTGTCACCCAGGCTGGAGTGCAGTGGCGTGATCTCAGCTCACTACAACCTCCTCCTCCCAGGATCAAGCAATTTTCTTGCCTCAGCCTCCCGAGTAGCTGGGATTACAGATGCCGCCATTACACCCAGCTAATTTTTGTATTTTTAGTAGAGACGGAGATTTCACCATATTAGTCAGGCTGGTCTCAAACTCCTGACCTCAGGTGATCCACCCACCTCAGCCTCCCAAAGTGCAATCACTCCCAAAGTGATTATAGTTGTGTGAGCCACTGCACCCAACCTCGGGCCACTATTTTCAAAGTGAATTGTTTGCTGTATCGAGGCCTTAACAAGTATGGACATACATATGTGACCCTAATTAGGAAATACCAGATTGGATTAACTAATCATGTCAGCAATGTAAATAACTTTATTTTTCATATTCAAAGTAAAAACTTCTTTTAATCTTGGTCCCTTTATAACCAGCATCTTTTTGCTTTAGAAAATGAGCGCCTTTGTATTTTTTTAAAGTCTTATACATAATAAAAATATTTTTGTTCGAGTCTGCTTTCATGAATGAAGATTACTGACATGGTTGGTAAATTCTAGAATTTTGATTTTGTTTTTTAGTTTGAAGAAAACTTTTGCTATTTTAATTTTTTCCAAAATGGTCTTGCATTGTAAGAATTAATGCTAATAACCTAACTTCTAAATTTATGGTAATTGGCATGTTTAATAGCATATCAAAAAACATTTTATTTTAAGCCTGTGGATTCATAG